ACGGTAGACGAGATAGATTGTAAGAGTTGCATCGATGAGACTAGATGGATAATTGATTCATAAGGTAAACCTTCAAGTCAGTGAGATTAAAAAGATACTAGACAGTAAAGATGAATCTTAAATTGAGTTAGAGCTTAAGATCCAAACAAGAAGCACACTTAATAATAACAATTAGCAAGGTAAGATATTGATTAGGCAATAATAATATAAATCCAATAAATAAACAAGACAAATCAAAAAATCAATATGAAAGATCCTTTTTCACTTACCTAGTGAGTTTTAATCAAGTGGCTGCGACCTTAAAACTTGCTCCGATTAAATAATTTGAATCCAACAATGGTTCGTCAATCAATGTGAATGATGAAAATAATTAAGTTGAAAAAATTAAATATAAATTAGAATAAGTTATGATCAAAATGGTGGCGATGATTTAGTCAACTTCAACAAAACGTTTCTTCGCTATTCAAAACCACTGTTAGAGGTTTAGCAGCAAAACTTTTGTTGATTATTTTTCTTATAGATAGCTTGTCATGTAAGTGAGTGAGGAAAGGAAAAGATTGAGGGTTGGCAGTTATTTAAAGCAATTATAGAGTGACTGCTGATATGATTCAATAAATACAATATCATGATGTAAACTTACTTTAAGAAGCTCTGATGATGACCATCGTTTATCCACATCAACTTCGAGGCACTTGTCCAGAAATTCTTGAAATAAAACTGAAAGTTTATCCTTATCTTTAATTTCTGGTTTGCCAGTGGTGGCGATCAGATAAAGAGCCTAAAATAAATAAGATGAAAAAGTAAATAGAGATGAATGGTTACCAAAGAGATGATCAAAAGAAGTCCGTCAATCAAATGATAGAGAAAAAAAACAAGGAAGAAATTTCTTTTCAAAATTGGATGAATAATTTTTTGAAAAGTTAGGGCGTGAATATCCTAAGAGGATGTTCATTCAAACATGGAGGCTCTCCTTCAATCATTTCAATGGCTAATATTCCTAAAGACCAGATATCGACTTTTGGACCATACTGTTTTTTGTTGACTACTTCTGGAGCCATCTAATAAGGTGTACCAACAAGAGTTGTCCTCTTGTTATGTTCAGGGGAGATTTGAGCACAAAAACCAAAATCGGTTAATTTTACTGAGCCATCCATACCAAGGAGAATGTTATCTGACTTAATATCCCGGTGAATGACATCATTTGAGTGTAAAAATTCCAAAGCTTGTAAAATTTCTCTAAATTAAAAAGAAACAACTTAACCCTAACACCTAACCTTAACACAGCAGCAATTTGACCCTCATCCATGCAAGTTTCGGTAACAACGTCTACCAGAGACCCACCAGGTAAATACTCCATAACAACCCACAATTCATCACCAACCAAATATGAATCTAGATAATTAACAATATTCGGGTGCTTATTTTCCTTCATTACCAAAATTTCGTTTATTATAAGCTTCTGATTTGGTTGTTGAACAAGTTTCATTTGTTTAATTGCAACCTCCATTCCTGTTGATACTTCGATAGCAGTATAGACAACACCCGAGGCTCCTTGACCGATTTTTTCAATCGCTGAATATTTTCTATAAGGATCACCAATGGTCACTATGCTACGTAATTTATCCATAATTTCTTCATCGGACATTTTCTTTTTCTCGAGTAATCCGTTTTTATCTGGTTTACCTAGTTTACCAAGATTATTGGCATTTACTTTATCAGCACTTTTAATGTTGTTGGGCAAATAAGTTTGCTTGTTGTTATTTAAGTTATTAATATTATTGTTATTATTATTAATAGCAATATTAATATTATTATTCACACATTCCTTGGTAATTGTTTTGGTTTTGTTGACACTGTTATTTAACACGGTCATGTTGTTATTATGACCAGGTTTAGGATCTATTGAAAGGTTATTGACAGCATCGATGGTTTCATCTATGGTTGGATGAATGTTCAAGTTGTTATCTGAATTTTTAGGTGTCGTTGGAGGCTTATTCAGATGTTGCTAAGGGTGTTGTAGGTGAATTTACTTCTTTTGGTTGTGATGGAACTGAATTGTTTGCAGATACATTTAAAGATGGTGTAGTATTGTTAATGTTGGAAACTGAAACTGGAGAATTGGTTAACCCAGGAAATTTAGATTTACATATGGCCTTGTATAAATGGATTTTGTCTTCTCCGGACGAGTAGGTGGTGGTGGAGGTGGATGAGACGGAGGTGTTGTTTGTGCATGGTTCTCATCAATTGGTGAAGATCGTTGGTGAGGATCATCGATGTTATTACTATCACGACTACTGCTGCTATTACAACTGCTACTTCCACTACTCTTATCACCAATTGTTGTAAGATTAGATTGAATAGGGTAATTTGAATGGTGAACATGAGAAATATTTTGCTGATGTATTTGATGTTTCGTACAATGTGATTTAGTATTATCTTCTTCCGGAGTTGATGGTGGATTTGAACTGAGCGAAGATGTACATGATAAAGGTTCTTGTAAAGATTCACGAGGTGTACAGCTACTTCCATTAGATGAAGGACTTATTTTGATTAATGAATGGACTGGTGAGCTAGTTGCACTTAAATTTCCACTTCCAAGTCCGGCATCACTAGTGCAACTTGAGGCACAATTGGATAACTTTATGGCTTTGAGAAAAAGGTGACTTTTAACTGACTTTAAAACATCATTTGGAAACCAATAAACCTTGACTAACCAAGTTAGTAAGGTATGACTGGTAAAGAATGGAAATAAAAACTTTGAATTTGCATGGCGATTCACAGTCATGACACATTGTTACCAAATTAGATTTGTTTTTACGGAAATTTATTGGGCTTCAATTAAATATAATTTTTAGGGCATTTTTAATTTGTTATCCAATTCAAATGGGGCTAAGTTTAAGTTATCGTCGAAATCTCAAAGTTAATTTTGCTGGTGACCATCCAGAACTAAGCTTGTGTGAATGCAGTAAGCAAATGAGGGCTCATGAAATCAAATTAGGTCCAGTCTATTGAATCGGTAGAACAGTTAGGAATGAAAAAAATTTAAAAAATCATGCGAATTGTTGCCGAAAACCGACCAAAATGACGGAGCGCGAATTTGCCCGTTTCAAAAAATTGATGACGGTTGGACTGGTTCACAAAGGAAACTGACCTCAAATTTCGACATTTCCCTCATCTATTGTCAAGAATAATTAAAAAAAATCGGTATAAAAGCCTGGAAACGGATTGATTCACCCAAATCAGTCCTGGATTACAGTGTTTTTTTTGCGTTCTTTACCAGTCATACCTTAGTTAATCAATCAGAATAAGTATATTTAAACAACGATTGCGAGGTGATATGATAGTTAGATGCACGAGGGCGAAGCCCGAGTGTATTCACTATCATATCATAGTCTTTTTGGTTTATAACATGTATAGTATGAAATCATCAGTAGAATAAATTAAAGCTCATTTTCAATACCAACCTAATGATCGATTAATTGTCATGTATTTAGGTAAATTTCCAATTGTTTCACGGTTACTCGAATCATACCAATTGAGAACATCGAGAACAGCTTGAGGATTATTTTTCTGCTCTATTTTACTTATATTAGAGTGTTGAAGCATTTTATTTCAAGATTCTGGCATCCCGGTGAATTCACCTGTGTGGGCATCAAACCTAACATGAATAGTGTGCTCGAAATTGGTTGGTGATGAAATAAATGGTTTATGAACAAATGAAGAAGATTGATTGTGATTGCTTGAGCCATGAACTCCAAAATTTACATTACGATCTTTCTTGTCATTTTTATGAGATTTGCTTGGTGGAACTTTTAATCCTTTCTTAATTACTTTAGAGGCAACAGAGTTTCCTTTTTCAGGTTCCTTTGGTAAGGGACGGAGATCAACAGGAACTGAACTATTTGAATTGTATGGTTGATGTAATGGCGTATGGTAAAGTGATTGTTGGTGAGCATAGTTGACCGTTTGGTAATTAAGAGGATAATGGTGAGGAGAGGCAGGGTTACTATGATTTACAAAATGGCATTCTCGGCTATTACACAGCTTCGAATGGTTATTTTGTTGAGAGGTCAATCGAACAGGAGGTTGCGGTGGTTTGTCTTCCATGGTGTCACTAAGTTGTGCTGGAGATGAAAAATTTTGAGCCAAATAATGAGAAAATGTGATCAATTTGAAATAAGCCAAGGCAAGTAATGGATCAATTCCCACCAAACAATCAGCCCAGTAGTGGGGGACAAAATTAATAATTAACAATAATTGTATATATTACATGTAAAAGGTGTTTGTTTAAGTTTGTCATTTAACAAATTAAATCAGTTTGGTTATAGTTAGTTGATAATCTTTCTTACAGTTCATGGCACTGTTAAAAAATAAGATAATCAATGCAGAAGAGTCAGCAATAAAAATACTAGTTGATATTTGAACTAAATTCTTGTGCAAAGCAAATTATGCGTAAAATTTTGCTAGCTTGATAAAGTAATTAATTATTAGAGGTAGGCATATTTCAGACCGATAGAGAAAATATAATCCAATCAAATGAATAAAAAACATCAGAGTAATTGTTTTCAATTATTCAAAGAACATTAAAATTAATTTCTTTAATTTTCAGTTGAGAATCCTGTTACACCATGACTATTCGCAAGAGCGTGATTACAGGTTAACATACATTGCCAGAATGAGAGTTCACAGGCTATAATCTGGACTTAATAAATAAATAAATAAATAAATAAATGGGCTTGACGTGTTGTCTGTGCGTGGCGAGAAACAGCGATGATGGGACAACGAGGTCGATATTTGGAGATGAGATGAGCAGTTCTACCAGTTGTTGTAAGCACAACAATTGCAGATGCCATACATTTAAGAGAGGCGTTTACTGCAGCAATTGCCATGGTCGTTGTTAAATCAGTTGGTGATGGTGTGTTGGCGCTCAGTTCAATGAAGATATGCTGTAAATGACAATAAGAGGAAAGACGGTGAGATAGTAAGAGTAAGGTAGATAAAGTGGAAATCAAGTTGCGGATGAGTGATGAACCAATACAAAAATGAAATTAACTCAGATCATTTTTTAAAAAATTGCATTTGCAAACAAAAAAAAGATTGGACAAGTGAGAGTAAAGATGATGAGAATTATAAATACCTTAGAGAACATAGCAGCTTCAGCTTCTAAACAAATAGCTGCCATTACGGAAACAGCTTGGATTGGATATTCTCCTTTTGCTGTTTCACCAGAAAGCATAACACAATCAGCTCCATCTAAAACTGCATTGGCCACATCAGAACTTTCAGCTCGAGTGGGTCTAAGTTTTTTAATCATACTTTCTAACATTTGGGTTGCACAGATGACCGGTTTACCCACCATGTTGCATTTAGAGATCATCATTTTTTGTGCTAAGAAAACTTTCTCAGTAGGAATTTCTATACCCAAATCACCTCGAGCCACCATAATACCATCTGATTCTGCGATAATCTCGTCTATCTTTTTAACACCTTCATGGTTTTCAATTTTAGAGATAATTTTAATGTCTTTACCCTCCTCACCAAGTATTTTTCTGATTTCTTGAACACCGGCAGCATTACGGATAAAAGAGGCGAAAACCATATCCAGCCGAGGCCGCCCCTAACAGGTCGGCTGGAGGCTAGCGGATTTTCCACTTTTCGTCAGGTAGCTCATTGGAGTAACAAATAAATAATTTAACCAATACTTTTAAACACCAATTTATCGACAAGGTTTACTGTTGGTTCGTACTGTAGGTTGGTCGTTTTTACAAAAGTACTGAATCTCTGCATTACTTATCTGAGGTATAGGGCCATTTTCATGGATATTTTTAATCACTCCAACTCCACCTCCAAGCCTACGATAGTTCATAGAGCCTTTTAAATTCCATTGGTTTTTATCTGGATCGTATACTTCAAATGTTTTAAGATAAGTGTTTCCATCAAAACCACCAACAGCATACAAATAACCATTAACAACAGCTAAACCCACACCAGATCGTCGAGAAGTCATGGCCACAATTGGTTGCCATTGATTGGATCGAGGGTCATATCGTTCGGCAGAACTAAGTTCCATTGTATCATCTCGTCCTCCAACAGCATAAATCATATTATTATAAACAGCACAGCCCAAGTGCTTTCTTCTAGTACACATTGGTGCAACCATTGACCATTTATTAAATTGTGGATCGTACCTTTCAACTGTATTGAGAGGTGATGATCCATCAGATCCACCGACAGCGTATAAATATCCATTTAAAACAGCTACTGCAACGCCAAGTCTTTTAGTGCTCATCGGAGCAACTTTAGTCCAACGATTAGTGTTTGGGTCATATCTTAAAAAAGGAAGATGAAAATGATTATCAATTACTCAAAATTATATTTAAGAATACATAAAATTGATCCGATACATACTTTTCAACATAATTCAGACAAGAAACTCCATCTTGTCCACCAACTGCATACAAACAATCATTTAAAACAGCTACACCAACGCTAGTACGACAGGAGTCTGTTGGGGCTACATCGGTAGACCATTGATTTGTATGAGGATCATATCTGAAAGATGAGAAAAGAGGATTATAACACTAGTATTTTAAACTCGGGACTTGTGCTTTTTAATTTTACCTTTCAATTGAATTGAGATAAGATTGTCCGTCATGACCTCCAACAGCATAAAGAAGATCATTAAGAACACCGACGCCGACGCCACATCGGCGTTTACTCATCGGAGCTACCATTCTCCATTCATTTGTATTAGGATCATATCTTTCAACACTAGAAATGGCATCACCACTACACCAACCTCCAACTGCAAATAATACTTCGCCCTTCCTAATAGGTTTACGTGGTCTAAATCTTGATCCAATCATAATAGCTCTCTCATTTGGAAGCAAAAGATAATTTTTAGCTTCATCAACAAGATCTCGGCACACATCATCACTTTTGATTAAAATATCTGACCCAACGGTGCCAACTAAAAATTTAGCTGTTAATTGAGATAAACGTACATGCTCTAATACCAGACGTAAGTGTTGTCGTCGTTCAGCAACATTATATTTAACCCATGACATGATTGCGTTGTAAACTTGCTCTTCCAAACGCACATTCAGCTCATCACTAGAGATAATATCGATCAACTGGTGAACTGGAAGCAGTAGAAATTCTTCACTTTCAATGACTTCTTGAAATCTTTCTTGAGTAAATTTATCAGCATAATGGAAGAGTTTCTGACAAGAATGAGTATCAGCGAAAGCTCGGATTCCGAGGCAGTTACTAGGATCAAGTTGTCTTTTTAAAAATTCACAACAGACTTCTTGGATCTCTGTCATTTGAAGCAAACATGCAGCAGGCAGTAAAACTTGCACGTTACCTATTTAAGTAAGTAAAATATTGAATTAATTAAAGTGAAATGAAATTTTGATCAATAAACTCACCTTCTTCGACTACAATATGAGAAGTATATGCAAAATCTACTAATAATTCCATTGCATGCTCATCAATATCCTTGATTTCAACTTCAGCTTGACGGCTTTCTTGGAGCTCGCCGGTAAACATTGCATGGAAATAAGGACTACATGCAGATAATACAACTCGATGAGCTAAAATTTTCCTTTTTGACACAATTAAAACAACATCACATAATTCTCTCCTTTTTCGCAAAGAGTGTAATGCTTCTAAAGTGTATTTAGGATGTTTATCACTAAAGTGTTCCAGTCTACAAGGACTTGGCACTCTATCTGTTTCAGTATGGATTATATCGCCCATTTTAATGCAAATACCAATGAACAATGTCACCAACCTTCACGTTTGTTTTGACACTCCAAGAATTAGCTGAACAATAGATCCAGATGGAATCCTAGACGGAAGAAATAAGTAATTTAAGTAAATGAGTAAATGAAGAGTGAAAAGATATGAAACAATGGATGCAAAATAAAATCAAGAGAGCAATACTGAGTTTACTCTTTGACAGATCCTCTTAAAATACAACTTTCTGACGCGCGATTTACAAATCTTATTTTTCCCATCGAATGTTTGTTTTGTTTTTTAAAATTTTGTTTAAAACTCTGCTCTTTAAAATTACTTTAATCAAATTGTTTATGGTGTTTTCTTGATGGATGCATTAATTTGTCAATAAATTGAATTTTCAATCAATTTTCATCAATATCTATCTAATAAATGTTTCCTTTGTGACAGATGTTTAGTGTTTAAACCAGATAAACAAAGATTAGCTACTCTACCTCATGTATTGTCATTCAGTCACCATTGAGAAACTGCACTTAATTTTTTCAACGTCCACTATTTAGGAGGAGTTAGATCTACCTTTGCATTTCGTCGAATTTCATTCGATTTCTTCAAGTATCAAATGATCCGCAAAATGAGCTTAAGGCAACATTTAAGGGTAAATTTGATCAACTAAGGAAGAATGAAAATCCTGAATTCCGCTGCCCGACGAATAGTGTGAATAAGCTATTTCTAGCGAGGCCAGTTTTTCAATGGTGACTGTATTTGGTAAGTGACCCGTATTTATTTCAATCATTGCTTGAGCCAAATTTTGTTCAGATCTTATTTTAAAGCAGAAGAAAACTCAATTAAATACCAATAATTACAAAAATAGTGAGAAAAAAATTGTGAACCTAATAACCAATAAAATACCGTAATTTAGAAAAATATTTGTATACAAGATAAGTTAAAGTCCGAAGAGCATCAACACAATGAACGTAAAGAGAGAGAAAATTTGAACTGAATCAAATGAAATGATTATAAATTGACAATCAAACACTTAACTGAATCAAAAGATAATAAAGATCAGATCACAAGGTAAAATATTAATTAAACAATAATAATATAAATTCAATAAATAAACAAAACAAATCAAAAAATCAAAATGAAAGATCCTTTTTCACTTACCTAGTGAATTGTATTCAAGGTTATGGGCTTTGACCTTAAAACTTGCTCGAGTTAAATAATTTCATCCAACAATGGTTCGTCAATCAATGTGAATGATGTAAATAATTAAGTTGAAAAAATTAAATATTAATTAGAATAAGTGATGATTAAATAGTGATAATTCAAACAACTTCAATAAAACGTTGTTGAATATTTTTTCTAGCTTTAAGCAACAAAGCAGTGATAACATTGACTAGTAGATAGCGTTACATGTCAAATGCTCTGAAAATAGCCAAACATTCCTGTCAAAATAGCATTTCTTTTAATCTGACAATTGTGAGCTTCAGAATATCAAGTTCAGATTTTGAAGCTTTCGTTCCTTGATTAGATTAACCCATTATCGGATTACCCCAACATGCCGGATCTTCAATTTGAAGCGATCTTTTTCAACACTCATTCCAATTTGATTATCGGGAAACTGTATGGTAGATCCAGATGAAATAAAGCATCGCCTAAAAGGATTTCAACTTCGGCAGGACGGAAATATTTTGCATTCACTTTAACTCGGACGATTCCAGTTTCTTTTTCTTTACCCACCTCATCTAATCCTTTTCCTTCTCATTCAATGTTTTTACCGACATGTTTGAATGCTTCTTCAACAAACTCGCGAACACTTAATAATCGGAAGTTTACTTGGTGTAGGAGCTACAAGAATAATCAAAACCAAAGATATAATTATTTTCGTTCAAATTGAGTAACTTGATTTAAAGGTAAATATTATATCTACTGTCATCACCTTCAGTATTTTGATCTGAGCTTCAGGACCTCTAGTTAAGACTTTGAAGTTTCGTTCCTTGATTAGATTAACCTAGTTTACTTATTGATCTATTGACTGACTCATAGAAATATTTGAAAGAAAAAATACTTGAATTATTATGTTAATAACTTACTGTTAGAGATCAACTGACTCACGAAATGATTTACATATGTAAGTAATCAGTAGAGTAGAGTTTGGAATTATTGATTAATCATGCTTCAATTTTTTTCCATCTATTTAATGATAATTCTTCAACATTCAGCCATGTATTTTTTATATGTAGGCAAAATGACAACGTGAAAAAACGTGCAATTGAATAATTTGCTATCCTTAATTTGCATATCAGTCGAGTTTTCCAGTTTTATTTTAACTATGAAAAAGATAATCAAATACAGAAGAGTCAGCAATGCAAATACCAGTTGATATTTGAACTAAATTCTTGTGCAAAGCAAATTATGCGTAAAATTTTGCTAGCTAGATAAAGTAATTAATTATTAGAGGTAGGCATATTTCAGACCGATAGAGAAAATATAATCTAATCAAATGAATAAAAAACATCAGAGTAATTGTTTTCAATTATTCAAAGAACATTAAAATTAATTTCTTTTAATTTTCAGATAAGAATCTTGTTACACCATGACTATTCGCAAGAGCGTTAACAACGTGATTACAGGTTAACATAGATTCACAGAATGAGAGTTGACAGACTATAATTTTCAAAATATGGAAATAAAACTAATTAAACAATAAATGTTATTGTTTGCTTTGTAACGAATAAAATACATAATTCAAATCGAATTATTAAACTCGTTAAGATCTTGATTGGATAATAATTGCTTTTAGGCATCACAAACAGTTTTTTTGTTCCTAGATAAATTATATTCTTGAGATTTATTTATTCAACTGTAACAATTCTCATGGTGTTTGTAGAGCCAGGACCCTTTCTCCATCCAGTGACAACGATTACAGAATCACCGGTTCGCATGAAATTGCGAGCTTTACCAAAATCAATAGCAGCTTGGATACGACCATCAACATCTTGAGGCCAGTCACCAGCTCGTTCACCGGTAAAATAGATTGGTAAGAGTCCTCGCCATAGATGGGCTTGACGTGTTGTTTGTGCGTGGCGAGAAACAGCGATGATGGGACAACGAGGTCGATATTTGGAGATGAGATGAGCAGTTCTACCAGTTGTTGTAAGCACAACAATTGCAGATGCCATACATTTAAGAGAGGCGTTTACTGCAGCAATTGCCATGGTCGTTGTTAAATCAGTTGGTGATGGTGTGTTGGCGCTCAGTTCAATGAAGATATGCTGTAAATGACAATAAGAGGAAAGACGGTGAGATAGTAAGAATAGTAAGATAGTAAGGTAAGTAGAAAGTGAAAATTAAGTTGCGGATGAGTGATGAACCAATACAAAAGAGAAATTAACTCAGATCATTTTTTAAAAAATGTCATTTGCAAACAAAAAAAAAGATTGGATAAGTGAGAGTAAAGATGATGAGAATTATAAATACCTTTAATTCAACTTCAGCAGAAGGACCGCCAGCTAATAACTCTAGTAGTTCTGATCTCGGGTCCCTTAGTATCCAAAGCAATTCCAACAGGATGCTCACCAACTCCATATTCAGCACTCAATTGCCTAACAGCTTCTCTAACATTGTCAATGGTTCCTTGATGATAGTCATAAGTTCCATGAGAGAAATTCATTCGAGCAATATTCATACCGGCTTTCATCATTTGAATAAGCTTCGGTACTTCTCGAGAGGCAGGACCTGAGTAAAGATAGTAAAGCAACCATTGATCAATTTATTTGTTTGGACTGAAATAGTTAATAAATACATTGGAAGTACTTATTTGTAAGATCCATTTAAAGGAAAAGACCACATCAATAAAACTATTTTGCCAAGGTTATAGAAATAAAACATCAAATCAAATCTTGATTCAATATATTAATATTTAGTTCTATTTTGACCTTGACAGGAAACATAAAATGAATTGTGAGAAGGACAGTTAGTCGTAATACTTACCGATTGTACATATTCCGGTTTGTCGAACAAGAGGTGGTTTAGAATCGATGAGGTGGCTTAAAACTTCGATTTATCCGCTAAGAGTTGGGACTTTGTGAGTTTTTAGGGGTATAAAAACTGATTACAAAATAACCGGTTACATTGCTTGCTTTGAGTGGCAATAATTTAATGGCGTCTATTAGCAGTAACTCAACAAAAAATCAACTTAGTGCTGGGAATTCAATTTCATCGAGCTGGTATAAAAAGTTGGAAAGTACAGCTAGATCATTCGAACTCGATCGTAGATTGGAAATAACCGATTTGATTGATGATATTAATAATCTATCATCTTTGTTTGACTCCAATACGGAGAGACAATCGTGTTCAAAGAGCTTTGTTGAATATATACCAGAATTAATAGCTCTTGTTACAAAATAAGAAAATTTATCCCAACTGGAAATGTTGTTTGCACCATTTAGCAGTTTAATATTTCTGGCACTGACGAGCTTCTTCAACTTGATGTTAAATGTAATCCAATAATCAAACCAACATTGACAAATTTTGTTGTCAATTTGAGATGGCAAATTCACGATTATCGAGATGACTAAATCAAGTACATACTGGTCCATTGTTTTACAAATTTTATCTTCCGCACTGACGGCTTGTCGTAATTTTGAAAGATAAGAAAATAATAGCTTTGTCCTTTTATGCAAATCAGGGCAAGATTTTTTCCGTACGAGCAAAGATTCTCTTAAAAGATCTCGTATCACACCAAGAGGACCAGATAAATCATAAACATCTTTTTCCGATTCCTCGACAGGTACATTTGAACTTTTAAAATGATTATTTAACCATTGAGGGTTTATATTGCCAACAATCCATTGGCAGCATTTCTCAGACGATTTGTGAGCTGTTAATTTGGCAGCAAAGTCTAATGTATCCTGAGTATAATCATGTTGAGATAGAAGCAAAGGTAGAATCTTAGTTGTTTCTTGGACACAAAAATTGTGAGCGAAATCGGAACAAAATTTTCGGATTGTATCAACACTACTTTTTCGATTTAAACTAATAGTTCCATCAGGTTCAAAATCAGAAATTGTTCCCTTTGCTTTATAAATCGCAGAATTTTTAAGCTCTTTGATGCACCGAGAGTAGACTCGGTCAGAAACAAGATCAATTACTTTAACCATTGAAAGTGGATGTAGACTCAAGAAGTTATTTTCAAGCTCTCGAACTAAATCCCGACTACTTTCCATTTTGTCTTCTTGAAATTGTTCCAGTCGAATAGACGATAAACCATTTGATAAAGTTCCTGTTAGCGTTAATGGACGAATCTTTCTTGGTGTCAATTTATGATCTTTTTGAGGTGATTTAACAGGGCTGGTGACGGGAGGAGCTAATATAGTTGAAGTGGTACCAGAGGAGTCGTCATCTATTAAGCCTTTGTATTCATCGAAATTGATAATCGAAGATGATAAATCCTTTGGGCATCCAATCGAAAAACTAGTTTCTAAATATTTGAACTCTCTATAATCAGAGATGAAATGTTCAATGATGTTGATAAGGTAAGCTCTGGTACTTGGATCACATTTTATCTTGTTGGTTTGCAAATTTTCATCGAGCTTGCAAATAAAACGAATGATTTCTTGATAACATTTAAGTCGAGGAGATATAGAGTCCATTTGTCGTAGAAATTGAATTATCCATGGAAGAGTTAATGAAAGTTTTTTCACCTCCACAGCTTCTTTCAACAGTCCAATTAAATTAAGGCAGCAAGTTTCATCTTTTCTCAAAAATACTTGAGTTTCAATAAATTGAAGCGAGTTGCTTTTACTTATCTGGAATGGTAAGTAAACAACCAAGCCGAGAAATTTTGCCAACACTTGTAAAGTCAGAGAAAGTTGGTTAAATTTCGGTTTCAAATTGTTGAGCTCGCTGCTAACTAGATCCTGGTCAATTTCACCAGATAAAGGTGAACAGTCGTTTGTTTCTAAAATTTTGTGAATCAGCATCAATTTTAGAAAATGATGAAAAGAGGAATTTTTTACGTTGATGATAAATTCATGGAAAAACCGTTCTTCATCATTAAACGTTGAATGAAGTTTAGAATTACTATGATCTAAACGTTTACGTAATTTCTTCAATCTATCATTTTGAATATACGATATAAGTTGATCGGTTGATAGTAGATCCTTGGTACCACCCATGATACAGGTACGAATCAATTGTGATACAAACAATTTGCTCAAATGGTAGCTATTTGATGCGTCATGAGAAAAGGATAAAAGCCGGTTGACAGTTGATTCGAATTGACTTTTAACATCCCCAGGATCTGTCGATGAAAACAGCGATGGTCGACTTTGGGAACTCTTCCAATTGTTATAAAGTTCATAGAAGATATCACGTTGATGCCTGAAAGAATGAAAAGCTTTTTCAACACTAAAAGCAGATTTACAATCAGTTTCAGGTTCAAAGTTGATACAGTCAAGATCACAGTGGTTAAGATTTTTCGTCATTTTGTAAAAATGTTGATTAACCTAAATAATAAAGCGATGTAAATTAAAAAAAACTGAGCAAAAACACAGTAAAAGATGAAAATAAAGATGGAAATGTAAAATGAAAGACAAAAAAAGTGAAAAGTGCAATTGAATAATTTGCTATCCTTAATTTGAATGTCAGTCGAGTTTTCCACCTTTACTTAGGGTTGCTTATTTTAACTATGAAAAATAAGATACAGTAATCAAATACAGAAGATTCTTCAATAAAATATAAGTTTATAATAGTTTGATTCTAACCTGATTCTTGTTCTCAGCAAATTATGCGTAAAATTTTGCTAACTTGATAAAGTAATTAATTATTAATAGTAAGCATATTTCAGACCGATAGAGAAAATATAATCAAATCAAATGATAATCAAATACAGAAGATTCAGCAATAAAATATAAGTTGATAATTGAACCTCAATTGAAGTCCGAAGAGCATCAACACAATGAACGTAAGGAGAGAGAAAATTTGAACTGAATCAAATGAAATGATTATAAATTGACAATCAAACACTTAACTGAATCAAAAGATGCTAAAGATCAGATTACAGGGTAAACTATTAATTAAACAAAAATAATATAAATTCAATAAATAAACAAAACAAATCAAAAAATCAATATGAAAGATCCTTCTTCACTTACCTAGTGAATTGTATTCAAAGGTTATGGGCTGTGCCCTAAAACTTGCTCGGGTTAAATAATTTAAATCCAACAATGGTTCGTCAATCAATGTGAATGATCTAAATAATAAAATTGCAAAAATTAAATATAAATTAGAATAAATGATGATTAAAATAGTGATGATCTAAGCAACTTCAACAAAACGTTTTTATTCTTGATGATTTTAGTCTAACGATAAAGTCGTAAGAATAAAGCTAGAAAATTTTTTTTTCAATCTTTAAGCAACAAAGCAGTGATAACATTGACTAATAGATAGCGTTACATGTCAAATGCTCTGAAAATAGCCAAATTATTCCTGTCAAAATAGCATTTCTTTTAATCTGACAATTGTGAGCTTCAGAATCTCAAGTTCAGATTTTGAAGCTTTCCTTCCTTGATTAAATTAACCCATTATCTACTTCTCTAACATCTCGGATCTTCAATTTGAAGCGATCTTTTTCAACACTCATTCCAATTTGATTATCGGGAAACTGTATAGTAGATCCAGATGAAATGAAGCATCGCCTAAAAGGATTTCAACTTCGGCAGGACGGAAATATTTTGTATTCACTTTAACTCGGACGATTCCAGTTTCTTTTTCTTTACCCACCTCATCTAATCCTTTTCCTTCTCATTCAATGTTTTTACCGACATGTTTGAATGCTTCTTCAACAAACTCGCGAACACTTAATAATCGGAAGTTTACTTGGTGTAGGAGCTACAAGAATAATCATAACCAAAGATATAATTATTATTTTCGTTCAAATTGAGTAACTTGATTTCAACGGTAAATATTATATCTACTGTCATCACCTTCAGTATTTTAATCTGAGCTTCAGGACCTCAAGTTAAGATTTTGAAGCTTTTGTTCCTTGATTAGATTAACCTAGTTTACTTATTGATCTATTGACTGACTCATAGAAATATTTGAAAGAAAAAATACTTGAATTATTATGTTAATAACTTACTGTTAGAGATCAATTGACTCACGAAATGATTCACTTATGTAAGTAATCATAAGCCTGTTGGATTAATTTTAGACTAGGAATTAACTCAGTCATGTAGAGTTTGGAATTATTAATTAATCAAGTTTCAATTTTTTTGCATCTATTTAATGATAATTCTTCAACATTCAGCCATGTATTTTTTATATGTAGGCAAAATGACAACGTGAAAAAACGTGCAATTGAATAATTTGCTATCCTTAATTTGCATATCAGTCGAGTTTTCCAGTTTTATTTTAACTATGAAAAAGATAATCAAATACAGAAGAGTCAGCAATGCAAATACCAGTTGATATTTGAACTAAATTCTTGTGCAAAGCAAATTATGCGTAAAATTTTGCTAGCTAGATAAAGTAATTAATTATTAGAGGTAGGCATATTTCAGACCGATAGAGAAAATATAATCTAATCAAATGAATAAAAAACATCAGAGTAATTGTTTTCAATTATTCAAAGAACATTAAAATTAATTTCTTTTAATTTTCAGATAAGAATCTTGTTACACCATGACTATTCGCAAGAGCGTTAACAACGTGATTACAGGTTAACATAGATTCACAGAATGAGAGTTGACAGACTATAATTTTCAAAATATGGAAATAAAACTAATTAAACAATAAATGTTATTGTTTGCTTTGTAACGAATAAAATACATAATTCAAATCGAATATAAACTCGTTAAGATCTTGATTGGATAATAATTGCTTTAGGCATCACAAACAGTTTCTTT